GCCGGCAGAAGCCAAGGCAGGGGAAGGACACGTCGGGCTTTGGGGTTTAGGGGTTTAGTGTTTTAGGATTTAGGGTTTAGGGTTCAGGGTTTAGGGTTCAGGGTTCAGGGTTCAGGGTTTACGGTTGAGGGTTTAGGGTTTGAGCAACATACTCTGCACAACGCTGTCTGTTCCCTCCAGGCTTTTAGATTTATGCATGGGGTTCAGACTTACCATAGAAGCCTGAGTACTTACCAACGCTGTTCCTTACGGTTTGTAGTATAACTATATAGCATAATGTACCCCTACGCCCTATTCTGTTTAGTAAGCCCGTATATTTTGCATGTCGGGACATCTCCACGCCCAAAGATCTCTTTTTGAGAGTTGAGCAAGATTTGTCGGAAAGGATTTGCAAGGGCTCCTTTAATCTTTATAGATGCGTCACACCCTAAACCCTAAACCCTACCCCTGCACCCTAAGCCCTATAAACCCGACTCAACTGTGGAAAAATCACCCCACACCCCTTCTGCAACCCTCAGAGAAACCGGAGATCCCAGGCGGCAAAAGTGGATTTGGCCTTCCGGGAAACCTTAGAGAAGCCCATCGAGATGGAAGTGCTGAGGTTGACGAAGGCCCATGACTCCATTTTGGGGTTTAGGGTTTAGGGTTTAGGGTTTAGTCCATTTTTGTTGGTTTGTGGGCTTCGAAGAAAGAATTATGCAGCATTGTCTAGGGTTTGGTGGTTTCGGGCGGGCTTCTGCCCGTTTTAACTTCGGCGTCGTTCGAAAGCTGTCCATCGCGGCAGCATCTTGATGCCAGGGCTCATGGGCCACATGCAATTCCAGATCCTTGCCGCGGAGCCGTTTCAGCACGCATTTTCCTGTCATTCTATCCTTCCCGTTCCTGCTCCTGCCTGCGCGTCGTCATCCAGGTGGGCTGGTAGATCCTGCCGCTGGCTGCAAGTGGATGCCGGGCTGTGTTTGCAAAGCTTTTACACTCCAGATTTCGCAAGGCATCATGGGCTGCGCTACTAGCGCGAGTGTGACGCACGACGACTTGGAAGACGCCAGCCTCACCCGTGTCGTCTTCACGGACTGGCATGCCGCTTTCCCCAACACTTCCCAGGGCACATCTCAGTAACTAGAGTACCCCGACAGGCACACGAGTGTGCGCAGGATGCTGCTGGACGAGAGTTAGTCGAGCATTCCGCTCCATTCAAGGACTGGGTTTTGGCTATGTCGGCTAGGTGGCGAGGGATGGTGGGCTACATCTTAATAGTCTTTAATCAAATTAGTTATTAACATGTATTTTATCATTGTGATTAGTATACATATATATATATATATATATATGCAAAAAGCTGCTCCCCCCCCTCCGGTTATCTACCTGTTGGGGGTGGGGGGGGTGGGGCGGGAAGAGGGTCGGGCCGAATGGACCGTTTGGCGGGCCGCGGTGCTGAATCTAGGATCTAGGAACGAATGCCTTATAGAAGAGCGCCTATATATATATATGATAACCCCGTGTATACCTTACATATGCCCAAAAGAGTACTTAACTACCGTATAGGATACCTTTAGAATCCCCTGTAGAAAACCCTATAGAGTACCCTATATATTAGAGCACCCTATATACAAGGATTTTAACAGTAGGAGCCCAAGATCTGAAAAGTCCCCAGTTGAATTAATTGTAGCTTATGCATAAGGGATTCCTATGAGTCGGAAGCAAGTCTCGCCCTGCAACACTTACGTAGCTACCTTCATACAGGGTGCCGAAATCGCCTTAGCGGGCGATGACTCATCGCAGTTCATCACTAACTCACTAGGTGTGCAGAGAGGGCAGTGCCGAGAGACTTGCCTCTGCAAGGTGGATCTGACACAGTTGTGTCAGTTGCAAAAGGAAGGCTCTTCGTGATTGTGTCGCTGTGTGAAGGTGCAGCTGGCAGCCAATCCGGCACTCAAATGCTACACTCCGTCTTAATTCGCTGCTCGTGGAGCAATGGGCATAGAGTGAGACTCACAACTACATATTAGAATACCCCTTCTTTATGCCTTAAAGAATTTCAAAATGAATACCCTGCAGAATACCTTCCTAAATTTAGGCTACAGAATACCCTTTTCTACAATACCGTATGGAGTACCCTTTAGAATACCTCATAGAACGCCCTCTAAAGTACCATCTGGAATACCCTGTAGTAGAGTACCTCACTGGAGACCGCTTGTGTAATGTACCCTATCCTCTAGAATGCCCATTAGAATACTTTATAGGATACCCTATAGCATACCGTATAGACATGGATTTCAATACGGAAAATCAGGAGAAGCCCAAGATCTGAGAGTTCACCAATTACATTGTAGGGTATTGAGCAAGGGATTTCCAAAAAAGAAACCGGGGAATATAGAAGAGTTGCCTATGAAATGCTTTGCAGAATGCCTTTTCTACAAACCTTAAACAAATTCATATAAAATATCGTAACACTTTATAGAATACATATATACCTTGGATACCTTATTGAATACCCTGTAGCCCACATGATACAAGTTCAATACCTTATTATAGAATACCTTCCTTTTCCTACACGCCATCTTCCTATATATAGATATATACACACACCCTACAGACACCTTTGCACAATACCTTATGGAATACCCAGTAGAAAGCGCTACATAATACTTAGTATAATGCCCCCCCCCTAGACATATACGCTACATAGAATAACATCTGGCAAACGTTCAAGAATACTTATAGACTACCGCAGGTATATGATATCCCATTTACAGCTTAAATTGTATGTATATATATATATATGTATGTATGTATATATATATATATAAATGTATACCCTATGTGCCTATGTGAACTTTGTTGCTATAACCTCCTTTCGCAAACCTCATTTTCGGAGAATGCAGCGGTTCGATAGCACCAAGTTTTCCGAAAGGACACCCTTCGGAACATTTGGTGGTGTCGAACCTCCCCTGCTCGTTGTCCGTATTTGCAATGGATGCCACAGCGGCTCGATGGCATATGATAGCATCAGCTGTTTGATGCAAAGCAGCAAACCCTTCGGAAAATTTGGAGCTATCGAACCGCTGTCGTAAGGTCTGGAAGACGCAGCGGTTCCGATAGCAGCACATTTTCTGAAGCGACACCCTTCAGAAAGTTTGGTGCTATGGAACCGCGCTTCGCTGTCCTCATGTTTGGAAAACGCAGCGGTTCGATAGCACCATATTTTCTAAACGACAACCCTCGAACAATTTGGTGCAATCGAGCCGCCCCTGTTTCTTGCCCGACTCTGCAACGGATAACACAGAGGCTCGATAGCACCTCTTTTCTGAGGAAGCGGATGAGGCGACAGCACATATAGCTCCCGGATTTGGCATCCGTAGCACAACTAGCTTTATGCTCGTACCACCACTATTGAGTTCAATAGGCCTATTGAATTCATTAGGCCTCGTATGTTCTTGTTTTAGTAGTCTATAAGTAAGGGAGAGAGGGTCAGGGGCAGAATGCACAGTAGTTACACCAAAACGGATATATATCTCGGGGGGAGCCATATATATATATATATATCCATGTGCATGCTACCCCCACCCCCCGTACCCATGCTTGGTTCTTGAGTAGTGTACGATAGCCGCCATGTCCTACAAAGCTTTCCACTCTCCACTTCCATGTTTGGCCATATCTAAATTGCCAATATGTTTTTGCCATGCCTCATTCATCGTGTCGAGCGTAATCTCGCGATCACATTTAACCATGATCTTGTTATCATCACCATTGTATCTATTTCTGCGATTGTCAACACCGTTCTGGTTACCTCAGTAAGACCAACCCAGCTAACGCTCGGTACCGCTCTTGTCTTACTATGTCTTAGCTAAATTTTCCGGGCCCAGTACTTCGGTGACTCACTCAGGATTTGGTTCATTGTCCAACAGCTATTATTCATGCGTGTTGATATGAACCGAACATTGTAAATAACATGTCTGAATTGGTGAGTCCTGTTTTTTTGCATTCTGACAGAAAAAACCTACCACCTATTAGTGATTTAGTATTCGCACCTGTGCTTGCGCTACCTACCAGAATACACAAACACTCTTAATAGAATGATGGCTTAATGAGCTGGCCTACTTGTGCTTAAAACCCTGCTGCAGGAGGGTTGCTGTGGTGAAAACCAGAGAGAATTCAACATGCGTTGGCTGCGTATTCAACTTTGTATTGGTTGTATTGCTGTTTGTGCTGAGTCGTCGAAAGTGATGGTTCTTGCATTCTTGTTTTTCTACTAGTGGAGGTTTGCATGTTTTTGTATCAGTTATTCTTAAGTCTGTGCATCATTTTACGTCCTGTCCATTCTATTGAACTGGGGTTTGCCGTTGCTAAGAAAGCCGTCTTAGACATCTTGCACCTAGGAATTGCGCGTCATAATTTTGTTATGAGTTCCTGAAATTGTACTGAGCAAGATATTTTTTGCTGTAGCCACCAGTTAAAGCCATACCATATGAACATGAGCACGCAACAATTAAAGACCCCCATGCGAACATGAAGCAACATGAGATATACATTCAGCTTTTCTAGTATGTAAGTTAAGCCAATATAAGCAGTTTCCATAGAACTCTAGCTTTCCCATAGTAGAGTCTTCAATCGTAGACAAAGAGTAGCAGTTCCGGACATGATAGCCAGACGAAAGCAATCAATGAACTGGCCTCCTCGTCAAAAGCTTCCCCAAGCAGAGATTGAATGTCTCGTTTTGTACAGGACGAGGGTGAATTTCATCAAAGTTGTTTGGTAATAACTATGCGTGTGCCTTACACGCACATGTGACCACATCGCAGGCGTACACGCGTGTGCCCAATAGAAACTTCGTGTTGAATATCAGCCACTCAAAACGCACAGAATTACCAGTGCAGACGGAGCGCAAACTGATGACCACCAACAGAACCGAAAATGCCATCTTCAAACCACAGCAGTGCGTATTCAAACAGAATCAGGACGTATTCACTTCATGACGTTTTGAGTCCGTTCTAATTCGCCCTATCTGAGAGTTTTGTGCTTGAATACCAGGAAGAACGGTACGACCCGGAGGCACACCCCCAACCCCAGTAACCTACCTGTCCTGAAGCGCAGATTTAGAAGACAGCCGTGGGTACATTGGGAGGGTACCATGCATGCTACGAAAGTATTGTGTTGCTGTATAATTTCATATCATTACCTTGAGGGTCCATGTACCCAAATAGTAGATACTTTGGCCCCAAAGTACCCAAATAGGAACTACATGATGCCAAAGTATCTACTATTTGGGTACATGGACCCTTAGGGTTACATCCCTAAACTCTCCCTCGCCTGAAAACCCTAGGAGGGCCTTCGACGCTTCAATTCCATGCGAATCAGCGACGGTGATGCCAGCGCTTTTGGAATTAACGTCCCTCTGGCAAGTACCCATAATCGCCATGTGAGGCGGCAGCTTGCACGCAACATCGGTCAGTCCTCATTCCTAAACCCTAAACCCTAAACCTTAAACCCTAAACCCTAAACCCTAAACGTAAACAGATTCCTCAGGGTATCTCGGGATCTTTCCCGTGTCTTGTTGCGACATGAGCTCGGTCGCCTGCGGCAAGACTGTGCGTGCTCAGTCTCGTTGGAGATTATGACATGTTATTGTAATATGTTTGGTATCATGTTATAAGTTAGTTTATCATATCAGAACCACTGCATTATATTATGTTGGTTATCATGTTATTGTAGTTTGTATAGTGTTTTATTTTCGAGAGGTTGTTTTGCATTAGTATTATTTTCATTCTCTAGTTTTTGGCTATATCTTATGACCGCTACACTTACTACACTTACTATTACCAATATCCCGAAGAGACTTCTTTTTATGATTGTTATCCTCAGTCCTACTTCGAGTGTGTTGGCACAATGAGGCTCGACAAGTTCTTGGCGGAGGTAGAGCAGAACCCGAGGATGCTCGAGAAGAGAGTGCGGCAACGTCCGCTCTTGAAAGTTGCCAAGGATCTAGGGGGCCTCCAGAAATGCTATAGGGGCCGAAATAATTGGATTACCAATGCTACTTTGGGGGGGGTCCTTGTTATAAGTTACCGTATAATATTCTCCAAGACCCTATTCCAATTATTAAGGCCCTTCATGGAAGTTGAGGGTTTGGCCTTTGTTGTTCGGGTTCCTTTGAGGGTGTTGAACGATTCTTAGTATAGTGTCTTCAACGATTCGGGGAACTTAACTAGGTAATTATACAGGGGGTATACGGATAGTGATAGTATTACTCAATGTTCCATTTTTCAGACAAGAGTTTTTGTTGGAAAGGACTTTGGACTTGAAAGTGCTGTGGTCTTAGAAAGTTCATACTGGAATTTCGGATCTAGGGGTCTAGGATTTTCGGGTCAATTACTTGGGATTCATAGGAGCTTCATTAGGATTACTTGGGATTCATAGGAGTCTTATTGGGATTCATAGGAGTTTTCATTAGGGCTCAGGGGTTTAGGGCTCGTTAATCGGGATTCCTAGGAGTTTATTTGGGTTCAGGGGTTTAGTGTTACCCTAAACCCTAAACCCCTAAGCCCCTAAACCCCTAAACCCTAAACCCTATGAACACCCACCGAGCCCTTTCTGTCCTGGAGGAGATCTCCGAGCAGAGCATGTCGGACGTCAGCACAGACGTGTCCAATTTTGCTTCGAGCCCTGCAGAACAGGAAATGATATGCTTTCGGGTTTAGGATTATAATGTAAGCCCTCAGTTCCTAAAGTTTCGAAACCCTAAACCTATAAAGTCTAGATTCCCTCAATCATTCCTTCACCCTCTAAACCCGGGAGTAGCTGTACCTTAGGATGCGTTTTGCCTGAAAGTGCGGGCATCTTTGCGTCCGTGCAGCGCAGATCCATATCCCAAAGGGTCCAAGTAGCAGCATAGCAGAAACTATTGGGGCCCAAACATCTATCAAGTAGCTATGATTGTTGGTACTTGGACCCTTTGGGTCTTTGCATCAAGGGATGTGCCGGTCTTCTCTTTGTCTCCAGGGTCGCGGTTGAAACTCGTTCCTGAGACGCTCTTCACCGTCTCACCGGCATGGACCAAGCGTTCTTGGTCTTGCGATGTGGGTGGTGGTCAAAATTATGGTTCCGTTTTGGGTCCTTATTCTAGTGCGGCACCTATTATTTTCGGGTACCCCCAAAGGGACCATAATTTTGACAACCACCCATGTGTAAAGGCATTTAAACAGGCACAACGTCCCTCCGGCTGTCTTAGCAGAGTCGGAGAACCTGTCAACTTTTGTCAAGCGCTCGCCTGCTGTCAAAGAGATTTGTAGAAGTTCGTCAGCAAGTATCGCGAAGAAAGCTGCCGTGCGCTATTCATAGGTGCCTGAATAACTACCTACACTATCTTGTGGGCTCCTTATTACAATTATAGTATAACATACACCAAACCCCTTTCTAAGTTTTAAGGCCCCTACACCTACACCCTAAACCCTTATAGTAGCTCTTCTAGAACCCTTGAAGGAACTCTTCAAGGGAACCCGAAAAGCCTATTCTAAGTCTTAAGGCCCAAACATTATTCAGCCCTTATAGTAACCCGTATGGTATTGCTTTTGAGGAAGCCTGTTCGAATTATTGAGGCCCCTACATTATAGAGCCCTTATAGTAACCCTTATGGCCTTATGGTATCGCTTTGAAGGAGCCCTATTGGAATTATTCAGGCCCCTACATTGCTCAGAGGTATGAGCTTGCAAGATACTGCAAGTCAACCCATTTAGTCTCGGCCAGGTCGAGCCCAGCTCGTTTCGCCTTGTTTGGCCGTGTTCCATTTTGTAGGGGCCTCAATAATTACCTATTACTATTTTTTTTTGGGGGGGGTCCTTATTATAACTATACTAGCGCTATTCTAATGATGAAGGCCCCTACATTCCCAGAGCATCGAATATCAGA